AAAACAAATATCATTAAAGTCGCCTATTATAATAACTTTGATATTTCTTCTCTCACACTCTCAGATCTTTCTAATAATATGTTGTTAAAGAAGTTTATTAATTTCTTTGTTGTTAAATAAGATATATACTATAATAACTAATATTTTAACTAGTTTAAAAACTAGCAAAATATCTATATAGTAATTACTATATTTTGAAACTTTGCCTATATGCTTTTTCTATATTTTGCTTATTAGTAGCCCTACTTCTGAGCTTTTTACTTTATCTTCTTCTGCTAAGTTCCAGAAGCTTAGAAAACTAGACTTATTTTTCAAAACAAATTTTTTTGTTGTTTACTTATATTTGACTTGTTTATACTTATAATATTGATTTTTTGTTCTTTTATCTATTCTGCTAGTAGCTCTAACTTTGCATTTTTACCTTTTATCCTATTAATATTATGTATTGCTATACTAAGTATTCTAAAGTTTGCATTTGATTCTTGGTTTGCTGAATTTGATCTTAGTTTTTGATTTCCTTTGCTCTTTACTGATTTCTAAGTTTTCCTTCTTAAGAAATCTAGGCCTTCTATAATTCAACTAGTGTGACAAATTAGAAGTGATCAGGAGCTTTATATCTCCTGTATCTGTTTTTAGCTTTCAATAAATGCTCTTGTTTTTCTGCAAGTACTAGCAAACTCTTTAAAATCTCTTTTATGCTTAAACTACTATTTCTATATTTTAATCTTTTTTGCATATATGATTTCTATCTTTTCCTACTTCTTCTTCTATACTTGCTTAATTTGTTTGTATTACTTTAATCTGAGAACTCAAAACAATTATCTTTTATATTTGAGAGTGAGTTTGTTTTGGAGCTCTTTTCTTTTTTATTTCTATAGCTAGGAGATTCTGTATAATCTTTATATATTGTTAACTCATCTTCTCTCTCCTTATATATGTACTTTGAATATCCTTCACTCAGGTCTTATTCAGCTTTCCTTTTCTCTAAGCCTTTCAGACTTATCCTTTGTAATATACTTGATGCCTTTGTACTTGCTTCAGTAGTAGCCTTATCTTTTGAGTTATTGCTCCTTCTTATATTCTACTTCAATTTGTTATTGTAGTAGTCAGAGTTATCACTTTACTATGTTTATTCTATTGGCTTCTAATTCTATTCACTTTTTTTATTTTTCTATTGTAGATTTTCAGTATTAAATTTTGCTAATTAAATTTAAAAATATTTTAAATTTATTACTTTACTAATAGTCTAACAATATATATTTAAATAATTACAAATTATTAATAAAAAAAAATTTTTTTATATAGAAACAAAAAATCAAGCTTTTGTTCTAGTTCTATTTGCCAATACTAGTAGTAGTATACTAAGAACCTTAGGCTGTTTAGCAAGTCTTTTTCATTAGTAAAATAGACTGTTGCACTTCTCTTATTATTATTGTTAGCATTTCTAAATATGTGTAGAGCTTTAGCTCCTGTTCATCTTATCTGTTTCTATAAAAGTACTTCATTTATATCTTCAGAGAAATTTAAGATTTTCTTAGAAAATCTACTTTGAGTTTTAAAAAGCTCCATATTATTTTTTCCTGAAGTAACTCTTACTAAATAGTTACTCAGAAGAGAAATACACTATATATCTTGAAGGTCTTCTATGAATATCATATTTGATACAAATTTGACTTCTGCATGTACTTTTCTATGAACTTCTCTAATTATCTCAATATGACTAACTCTTCTAAGATAACGTATAGATTTGAAAATATATACTCTTTTTGCTTATTTTAGAAGGTCCCATACTGTGATTGAGTTTACTTTCATTATTCCTTTAACTTTCCCTTCTATTACCTTTATTGACTAAATACTCAGCTTTTCTCTCAAAGCTAAGTTTTTATTTGTTTTTTGTGTAGTTTGCTTTCCTTTTAGTTTCAATATACTTATTACTACTAATTTATCTAATATGCTTTTACTCTCTCCTTATATTTTGTAATCATCAAATATTATATTATACTATTCAATCTTCTTTTTCTTAAGTTTCTCTTTTAAGATATTCAAACTTTTAAAACAGTTAAATTTAATGAATATCTAACTGTTTTTATTTTCAAAATATTCTATGATTTTGCTAATATGATTACTTTTATATAGTATTTCTTTTATAAACTTGATATATTCATCTTTTGTTTCTCTTAAAAAAGAGATAGTAGCTATCTTTGCTCTGAATTCTTCTGTTTTCTCACAGGTATTTTCATTAGATATTCATAAACTATCTTCAAGTGAAGTTCTATAAAGCTCCTTATAATTTGCTACTACATGATCTAGTTGCTTCTTCCAGTATTCTTTTGGATCATTAATTTTCTTTTGTAGAGTTCCAAGTGGAGCTGTTTCTATATCTTCAAGTACTATATCTTTTGTTTGCAAAGCTAGATTTACAACCTCATATTTTACAGGCTTTGTATATTCTATATTGTTCTTATTACTTGTAACAGATGAGTTTATTAGGATGCTGTTTTCTTGTGGGCTTACTTCTTCACAGATATTTCTTGTTTCTTCATCTATGAATAGAATCTCTACTGCTATTTTGTTACTAAATGCTATTTTTCTATTTAGATACTCAACTCTTTTAAGATTACTGATGCTGAGTTACTATTTATATTTTTATCTTCTAGTAGCCTAGCAGCTATAATATCTTCATGTAATAATTCAGCTTCTACCTTCTGCACTGCTAACTCATTTACTGTTTCTGCAGTTTCTTTAAACTATTAGTTTTTTTTTCTTTCTGTACTATTACTTTCTTCTAAGCTTATTATATTTTTTTTTTGCTTTTTTACTGATATAAGTTTCTTTTTAAGCTTCTTCAGAGCAATATTTAACACCTTTTTACCTCTTTAATAATTATTTTTTTAATTATTTTTTGCTAGTTTCTAGTTACAGTAATGATTTTTGTACTTATTTTTGTAATTCTAAATATATATTCATTTATTTGCTTATAACTTCTATCTATACCTTTAATTATATTATTGAGCTTCTAAGGTTCTTCTTCTCTAAGTATTGTTTTAAGGTTTGCTACCTTCTTTTCTTTTAGTATATAGCTTTTCTTTAGCTTGCCTACTTGGTTGTATCTTTTGTCTGCTGATATTAACATTAACTTAGCACTTTAATATAAGTGACTTTGAGGATAGTAGTATTTTTATATTCTAAAAATATTTATATTTTGTTAATTTTTTAGTTATAACTACTTTCTTAATTATTTTTTTTTATTTACTTACTATTATAACTATTTTATTTTTTATTTCTAAAATTTTCACTACTATTTTATACATATAATTTTCTAGACCTAATTCAAATTTACTACCTTCAGCTATTATCTCTTTGCTATATTCTTTAGTTACTACTTCTATTAATCTTAAAATATTTTCTCTATTTTATATATTTGCTTTCTTGTATCTATAATTTAAACTTGCTTTATTTTTACTTTTGTTTGATTACTTCTATTAGTAATTTTAAGTTTTTTCTGCAAATTTCTTATATTTTTTCTTTTTTGTCTATAAACTATTTAATTTGGGTTTTGTATATTTCTTTTTTATTAGATACTATATAATACATATTGCAAATTTCTGTAATATGTTTGTTTATTTACCTTGTTCTTAATGTATTTATATTACATAAACTGATCTGCATTTCAAAATAAATCCAAATTCTTAGTTTTCTTAAAATTTTTTTTAATATTTTCTTTGCTTCTTCTATAGTTTTGTTTTCACTTTCTGTTTTTCTTTTTGTTTTATTAAGATATATGTATTCCTTTGTTTCTGTTCTTTTTACTTAATATCTTTTATACTACTTTTTAGTATTGATTTGAAATTATTTTAATTTTTTTCTTTGCTTCAAAAATAGATAAAATAATCAACAGAAAGAGTTTTAAAAAAAATATATATATCAATTTGATTAAGTAATTGTTAAAATATTTTTATTTAATATTTTTAAAAAATTTAAAAACATCTATCAAAATAAAAGTTATACTAAATTTTTTTCTAAACTTTAAATAAAAATATCTTAACAACTACTAAATCAAATTCAAAAAATTTTTATTTATTTTAATTTTCTTTAATTTGTCAAAATATCTTTAAAAAAATTTGACAAATTATTTTAATAAAATTTTTTAAGTTTTTTAAAAACTTTGAGCAAAGATATCTTGACAACTACCTAATTAAATTTAATGAATTTTTTTTTTTATTAAAATTTTACTGTCTCAATGAAATGAAATAAAAAAAATTTTCATCGAATTTGATTAGATGGTTGCTGAAATATCATTGTTCAAAGTTTAGAAAAAAATTTGGCGCAGCTTTTATTTTGATAGGCGGGTTAAGTTTTTTAAAAGTTTAACTGAAGATATCTCGACAACTACGTGATAAAATTCAATAAAATTTTTTTATTCGAATTATACTGTCCAAGAGAATTAAAATAAAAAATTTTCATCCGAGTTTGATTAGGTAGTTGCTGAGATAATTTCGTTCAAAAGTTTTGAAGAAAATGTAATCTAGTTTAATTTTTTAAGACGTTCGAGTTGTTTACTAAATTTGAGCAAATTTATCTCAACAACCAGCTAATCAAATTCGACGAATTTTTTTTATTTTAATTCTCTGTAACAGTAGAATTCGATTAAAAAGATATTTTCGCTCAAAGTTTAAAAATATTTAAATTTACAGGGTATTAATAGTGGTTTCTAATTGGTTGGATAATCATCGAACGTCTTGATGGGTAGATAGATGTTGACTTAACCCGACGAAGCAAAACAAGCGAAAAAATAGAAAAATACGGGAAACAATAGTCTAAATTCACCTCGGGGCATTAATAAAAAATGTCGGGAAGGCAATTTTACCCATATGACTTTCTAAATTTAACTTGAAAATGACCTTAACCCTAATGTTAATAATTAAATAAACGTTAAATTAAATGATTTTTTTACCGTAAATAGATGCACTCACAAATAGATTATCTGCATTTTCAGCAAAATGTTGACCGCAGTCTTAAAACCGAAAACTAGAAAGTCGATTAGCAAACCAAGTCGTAAAGGAAAGAAAGCCTGGAGAAAAAATGTCGATATAACTGAAGTTGAAGAAGCTTTGGAAAGGATAAGAGAGGAGGAAAGAACGTTAGGGTGTGTTTACAATAGCGTGTAGAATCAAGAAGGCTTTAGATTGCATTATGATCATGAAATACATTTAGAGGCTTTAATTCAGTTATTAATGGATTTACTTAAAATAGTGGTAATCTTAATGACATACCGACAGAAAAACTTTTTGCAGTAGATGTAAAGGGAGTTCCTGAAGGTTGGTGTCGTGCTTTGTTTTTTTTTTAAAAAAAAAATATCAATTCGTTTCTACTCTAATTATTTTCTTTATTGAAACTTAAAGTCAAAACAAAAATCGACAAGAAATTCGCAAAACTACATATTGATCAAGTTTTAGAGAACCACAGTAAGATCCCTGAAGTTTTTTCAAAACAAAGACCAAGTTATGACAAAAAACATGGTTCAAAGTATAACAAGATGACGCTAGAAAAGTTTATAAAGAAAAATCAAAGTAAAAATTCAAGTGATATACAATCTAGTGAGGTGGTTAAAAGGACTGGAGAATATGATGTATGGGCACAAGGTTCAAAGTTTTACATTCTTTATGAATTGTTTATATTAGTTCTTGATGATTGATGATTGTTATTTACTTTTACTAATACTATTAGTACACAATCAATCAGAAGATTTTTTGCATTTAATAAAGGAACAAAAAATTAAGGTTGGCTAAAAAAAAATTTTTTCTAAACGTATCTATTTTATCGATCATATATTTATATATTTTATTCATCTATTTGTACACTGAAAAGCCACCTCCAACCTTGAATATGAAACCTGCAGTTAACATTCCCGCTGTTCATATTCCACACCATGGATCAAGCTATATGCCATCGTTTAAAGAGCATCAGGTTGTTTAGAGACATTAATGGTAACAAATTTATAGTTAAAAGTGCTAATTCTTATACTTTTCCACAGGAACTCCTTATGATTGCTCATGAGGAAGAAGTCGTCAAATTAAGGAAAATGGAACATATCAAATCTAAACTTCCAAGCATTCCCTCTGCGTTTAAAATAGAGGGTATAATTAATGAAAATGATGAAAAATCAGAGGATGACGACTCCGGAAGTGAAGAAATTAAAGAAAAATTTATTGTTAAAACTAAAGAGCAACGTAGAAAGACAAAAGCTGAACGGAACAAGGAAAAAAGAAAATTGGCGAGTATGAAAGAGGTGGAACAAAAAAAGACGTTAAAAGTCTTGAAGAAAGAGTTGGAAAAGTTCGTACATTTTTTATTTTTTTGAATTTTATAGAAATGATAAGGCTTTATATAACTGTTACCTTATTCAACATCAAAACAATAGACTTCCTGAGCTTCTCAAAACCGTTGAAATTGAACGCGCTGAGCATGAAGAAAAGATGGTTGAGCGGACAAAATTGGCTGAAGAGATGACAAAAATGCCAAAGAAAAAAATTGGCAAATATCGGTGAATTATCTTTTATATTTCATTATTCTAAATTTCACTCAATTGAATCATCGGTCTAAAGTACATATATTTATAAGAGTTCGAAAAGCACCAATTGATTTTAAACTCACAGAAGAATTGGAAGGGGCGCTAAGACTTTTAAAGGTGTTTATTTGATAAATCCTTACATAATTTTTGATTAAAGTTCACTTAGATTTACATTTTTATGACTCCATAATAGCCTGAAGGAAATCTTTTCCGTGATAGGATGATTAGTTATGAAGAACGTAATATTATTGAGCCAAGAGTACCTGTCAGGTAGGATATTTGATAAATATTTTCTAGCTTGTTATAAAATTCTTACAGTATAATTGTATTCTTCATAACAGTAAAAAACGGAAATATAAGCTTAAGGAGTATGAGAAAAACTCTTATAAAAATTTTCAGTAATTAACAATGGTTACTTTACTGTTTCATACTATACAAATGGAAGAGTTATTTTGACAATATATTTGGTGCGGAGCACTCAATAACGGTAATTGCGATCAGGCATTACTGTTTCTTTTTTGCACAAAAAACAAATAAAATAAAGTAAAATTGAATTGAATTTCATGCAAATCTTATTAATTGTATTTTTTTCTTGCTCTTTTTTTTAAAAAAATGAGAATAATAAAATTATTGTCTGTCACGAGTGCCCAGTACATTTTACCAATCATTTCAATTATGTGATACGAATTATGTCAAATTATGAATCTGTCTTTAGCGTTAGGTCGTATGACTATGAGAAATATTTTGATAGTTTAGAGACTTGAAATTAAAAGCTCTTCCCCAAAAAATTAAACAATTAATAAGCTCCCCTCAAATTAAACAAAATTCGAAGCAGACCGGTTTGAACTACCTATTTTGGAACATCTTGAGCCTAACTTTGGATCATTCAACCTCGTTTAAAAAATTAATGTTTGTTTAATTTTTCCCCTCCCCCTACACATATACATATAAAAAAAAAATAACGTTAAACGAGTATGTGAGAATAAATATTTGCCTTTTAAAATAGCATTAGCGTTAAAGTATGATTAGTATATTGATTTTTTGTGTATATATCGATAGTATTTGCAATTGATATGTTTACAGTATTAAAACACGAATACATGAGAATCAATTCTATTTGCGTAATTTTCTCGTTCTAAACACATAACATGCGAAATTACTTATAAAAGATAATTAACAGAAATGTCTCGCTGCAGAAAGTAAAACCCGACTATCGCTATCGCTATAAAATAAATGTACAGTACAAATTTCTACCTGACCAGGTCATATAAAAAGGGCACCAGCGATGCCCCATTAACATAATATAAAACCGTACCGGATAGTTTATAACATATCAATAGTAGGCATTACTTAGTGTGACTACATGACCCCTGAAGAGAATCAAGGTTTATCAAGCAATGCCCGGAGAAAGATTCCCAGAGTGCCATTTTCATCTCTGTCCGTTGAAGTCCCACAATTCTTGCAGTGTATACCTCGGACTCTCCAATTTTTTGAACATTGCCACACCAACTACAAGTTTTAGAAGTATAAGCTTCATTTTGGATAATAACACGAACTCCAAATTCCTCTGCCTTATATTAGACGTTGGTAAAGCGGTAGTGCGCTCAACAGAGCATTTCACGGACGGTCCTCCGTGTGATCTTTCTTGTCTTGTGATTGACCATATCAGCTACTTCAATTATTATCGCGTCTAATTCACACACAAAGAATGCAATTGAATTTCATTCTGTAGATTTAAAATTTTACGTCACATACGTGATATTACTTTTTCGAGCCATTGGGCCTTTTACTTTTTACTCTTTGAGGTGGAGGCAAGTAGGCTATCTTTTGTAGCAATGTTATTATCCATATATTTGCACAGGCGAACAATTTGTCAATATCGTATTCACCAATTTTACCTGCACCTTTAGTAGGCAAATACAAATAAAGGGTGAATGAACACTAGGGTCAATAGAGATTACATGAATTGAACCATCCGCTTGAGTTTCACAAAATTGTTTCTACGTCTTATAGACCCAGAAAAACGTCCACTCATTTGTTCTCATGAATAGATAAGTTTTTCATCAGATGTGATTTTGGGAGGGACAGGCCACTTGTATTATTATAAAGCTATAGCTACCATATGTAAACATAAGATTTGATATAATCTAAAATCAAAACAATCTATTACTTTAGAATTAGGGCTTTGTTAGACTAGGATTAAGGTTAGGGTTAGTGATGAGACCCAAGCTATTTTCGCCAAATATCGGCATCTCGGCAGTTTTTTGATTCGGTTTGCATTTGCCGAAATCCCAAAGGTATGCCAGAATCCAAAACATATGCCAAAATCCAAAACATATGCCAAAATTCCAAATATATGCCAAAATCCCAAACATATAAAGAACCAAAATATAATAGAATTCTAATATGCCTAAATCATAATACAGTACTTCAAATAAACCATATGACAAAATTTAAATCGTGCAAAAATTCTAATTAGTTAATAAAATTTGATGGGTTTGGACTTAATTATGCCAAATTTCCAAACTAGTTTTTGAGTCTTATCTCTAGTTAGAGGAGGGCCAGAAAACGCGTGTTTTTTATTTTTGGCAAAATTAACCCTCTTCCCCTAGGTTCCTTTCTTTATTTATCATTTTTTTTTTAAAAAAAAAGTCACACCCTAAAAAAAAAACACGTGTTTTCTGGCCCTCCTCTTAGGGCCAGGGATGGCATGTCATAATATTGGACATTTGGACAATTTGGACATTTGGACATTTGAACAATGTCCAATTGTCCAAATAATTTGATTGGACATAGTAAATTTTTTTATTGGACATAAAAAAAAAATTAATTTAATTTTGATCTAAATTAAACTTAATTTGGCCATATTCACTAATACAAAATATTCTAATCTATGTTATATACCAATATATATTGTGTTGTTTATAATTAGTACCTAAAAATCAAATCTATGATATAAGGTAAAGTGGGTAATTCAGTATAGATAAAAAAAGTAGCAGATCAAATTATATTGAAGTTTACACATAATTTATTGATGATGCTTATACCATTTGATTCATCACACCTAGACGAATTAAATGATGCAAAAAAAAAACAAATTCTACAAGTATTCTTTAATAAAGTGCAAGTAATATTATATACTAATAATTATCTATAAACTATATTTTCTATAAAGTGATTGTTGGTGAAATAATATAAACGTAAATTCACTTATTTATTATCAGATATCCTATAGGTCTGATGAAGGCAATCTAATGATAAGAAAAAGAATTATTGGCTTCGGATTCAATGTAATGTAAAGCTAAAATTAAATTTTGTATGAGCTTGTTAGTTTTGTAGAGATGATTTTTTATAACAAACTGTCTATTTAATAGAATAGTAGAAAAATTCATTGTCAATTAAAAAATTATTGTTTTTCATATGAATTGATGAATCTTTACATTGATAAAATAACAGTAATTTAGAAAAAATATATGATTCAGAATATTCAGAGGTCGTTATAATGAAGCTTATCAACTGAGGGTCAACTGTATTTTGATATTTTATTAGTCAAATAAATTTCATCGTGAATTTTGTCAATCGTCAGTATTCGTTAAACGTCTGTAATTTCGTCACTCGTCAAAGTTTCGTCAGATGAAACCATTGGTGAAACTATTTCATCATGACCAAAATAGCTTTGTCAGGTATTATTAGTGGCTAGGCTCCGCGGCTGTTGTAGAATTTGCTATAGAACTACTGTACATTAGTTTTATTCTAATATTTTAATACTCAAAATTAATATGAAAATTACTAAAATTACTAGCATTCTTAATCAACTGAATTT